TGCCACGACGGCATTGAAGATGCCCCCCACATGCTGCTCACCTGCCCCCTTTACGCCCCGCTGCGCCTCAACTTTCCTGACCTGTTTGCTGAGCCCCATCCTCCCCACCGCTTCCTCCGCCAGAAACCGTGCCGCCTCGCCGCCTTTGCTGCCGCCTGTCACCAGCGCTGGCTGACCGCCACCGTTGCGCTGCCTGCAGTCCCGCCCTGAACCCCCACTCTCATGTCCACCCCCTTTGCTCTTACCGCACCACACCTGCTCCACGACATGCAGTACTGCCTGCCCGCTCACACACTAAACGCTCGGTGACCTGTCAGTTGGCCTGTCCTGCCTGTTGTTCTACTGCTTCATCCCTCCTTGCTCGAACAACAAAGTCTGTGCTGCAAGCTTGTTCTTGCTGAAACCAGACTGTAAGCCCACACAAGCCAACAAGCCAAGCCCGTCTGGCAGTCACTGACTTGCGCCGAAGGCTCCACCAGCCTGTTCCAGTGCACGGTAGATGCCAGCTGGACAGTGGGCGACTCCCACCTGACCGCGGCCTGCTCCAACGATGTCACGGGTGAGCTGCTGGCAGGGGCCTGCCTGGTGGGGCTGGCCAGACAGGCTTCGAAGGTTCCGGGCGAAAGTGGTGCCGCCAGTTAGCAGGCAGGCATGGGGTTGCAGCGCGAGCGGGGCATGCTGTGCCTGCTGCGCACCTGATTCATGCTGCTGCCCTGGCCCTGCGGTCGCAGGACCCACCTTCTGGCCTGGGACTGCCCGCCTGGGCGCTGGCGGCGGGGTGGAGCTACGCATCAGCAACAACAACAACAACGAGTGGTGGCCGCTGTGCTCTGACAACCTGGGGCCCACAGCAGCGGCGCTGGTGTGCAGCACCGCGGGCTTCCCCGGCACCACGCCCACCATCGAAGCTCCCATCCCCCTCACCGATGGCAGCTCCAACACAATCTTCCTGAACAGCGACGACAGCTGCGAAGCCCGGCCCAACGTCCAGGCCTGCAGCATCAACCCCACCACCGCCAGCGCCTGCGTCGGGCAGGCCGTGCTCAGCTGCACCTGAGTGCTCTGTCAAGGAACTCAAAAATCAACGACCAGATCAAGAAACCACTTCTGTGCTTTGAGCGACATTATTCATGGTCGGCTACTGAATAATTGTGAACATTTTCCAGTCTGGCATCACACTGCCAACAAGATCAAGCCCCGGTCCCGTTTCCACTGGTCCCGCCTGTGCCTACTATGTGTTCACAGCAACGCCCCTTCCGGAGGCTTGCACCCTGCCGCTCTACACGGCCGCCCGACCCCTCCTTACCGTTGTCCTTGAGATTCCAGTGCAAGAGCCGCTGGGCTTCCACATCACCTTCCTGCCCCATTCTCTATTCTGGCATCCACACATCGCCCGACGTCCATGGCCTTGGTGGCGCTGGTTCCTACAGCAGCCATTGTCACAAATGATGCAGGTAATTTGTGTCACTTCTTCCTCAGCTAAAGGCCATTGTCATGAAATCTCCCGTGTTCTGTATGATTCTGCTATGATTGTGCCCCAGGAAGCTGTAATAGAGGTGTGGGGCATGCAGCTGGCGGCCAAAGCGTGCGCGTTGCCCACGCGGCAGTCCCGGCAGCGCGGCCGAGAGGCTGCAGCTCAGCTACCTGCGCCACCTGCTGGGGGTGCCCTCTGCCGTACAGCAGAGCACCCCCAATGCAGTCCCCCATGAAAAGACTGGCGAGCGGCCGCTGTGGGAGCACGGGCTGCCACGGGCAGCATAACTCTGAGACAAGACGCTGGACGACGCCGGGAGCCTGCACCAGCATCGGCACCCATCGGCCTGGCAGGCCTAAGCTGCTTAGGGTCCCCACGTCCCCCACCACGTTGTGGGGGCTGCGTGTCCGGCAGGACAGGGAGCAGGCCCAGGGTGGGGTGAACCTGGGACGCTCAGCTGGGGGGAGGTGGGGAGGCTCATCCTGAGGAGGACCCCGGGTGTCACATGCACTCCGGACCGGGCAAGGGCCTCCAGCAATTGGGCCAATGTGGTGTGCATGGGCCCTGCGGCGGTGCCCGGTGTCTCACCACAGGGCGGTGCCGATTGCGGCTGCGACAGTGTAGAAGCAGGCAGCTGCAGCAGGCGGCAGCACTTCCCTCCCAGCTGGCAGCGGGGGAGGCGGGCCAGCGGCAGCTTCGGAACATGTGCCCGCTGTGGCCGCGGAACGGTGGGGCAGGGGTTGGGGCAGCGAGGGGCAGCCGGCGACAAAGGTGGCCATATTCGCCCGCTGGTGGCATGGTGCCACCTGCAGCTCCGGCAGCAGAGCAGACCAGTGGTACTGTCGCGTAGGCGCCGGTGAAGCAACGCCAGCGATGGAGACTCAACCCACCAAAGGCGGCAGGTCCTCTAGATAAAGGTAAAGGTAAAGGTGGGGAAGAGCCTCCACAAGCTTCACTTCCCGGTTTTAACGTCTAGCTTTAGACCATTATTTGATCTGCCCGACGCGCCAAGTGCAGTACCCCCCACTAGTAGTGAATGGGTCCCGGGGAGGCCTGTGCCGAAGCCTTGGCGATTCTATTAGGCGTTCCCGAAGGAATTGGCTTGGATTGGCGCTGAGCCGGTCAGCTATGCCGCGTTTGTCCTCACAAAGTTTCGACATGGGAGGAATCGAACCTGTGCCCTCTCGGAGGGTTTAGACACTAGCTCCAGCGCCTTCAAAGAAGGCCTTTCTTAGCCGCGGCCTAGGGTCTAGAGGCAAGATCTTGAGTGCACTTGCACCGCTAGCAATATCGTGGTGTGTGACTAACCGAGACAGCAAATGGCTGGTCACGTGGCCTCTCATTTTCTCCCCTTGGCACGGGAGCAATGGCTTAGGGGATGATCCGAAAGAGGCTGGGGCAGCGCAGTACGCCGGCGTGCTGCGGAGGCGGGGCGTGTACTGCAGGGGCGGCGGGCGTTGCCCTTCACGCCGCTCCCACGCCGTAGTCCCCGTTTTCGCTGCACCTGTTAGTGTAACATCCGAATCATGCGGCGCACGCCTGGACGCCGTTGCGCCCAGATGTTGTTCTGCGTTTGCTCTACCCGCGCCAGCCTTCCCTTGCACTGCCGTAATTTTGGTCGCTATCACCACCACAGCGGTTTGTCGCTGGCGGTGGCCGGCGCAATGCGCTGAACGGCCGGGCCAAGCCGGCCGCTTGGCCAACCCCCATGGCAGCGGGTAGAGGCACAGCGTGCAGTCTTTGGCCCACCATGGTTGGTGCTGCACCCATGCAACTTCCTAGACTGCCAGCCTCAGTGTCTCCCTCCCGAATTCTGCTGCTCAGGCTGGCCTAGCGTGAGCTCCTCCCTAGAGGGGCGTCCGTGACGGCACAACGCGTGCTGCAGCTCCTTGCCCACCCGCTTCCCATCCACCAGCCAGCACTCCGCTGCCACGGACAAGTAGCTGTGGCTTGAACAGCTTCATGACTGTGGCATGCCTGCGTTCAGGTCTGTGTAGGATGCGTGCATCTTGTGCGGGGAGGAGAGCAGCACTTGTCTCATGTACACCAGAAGGGCAGTTGGCACTAGCGCTTCTACCCCTTCTGGTGTTCGTGTGACATGCCCTGTTGCATTCCTTGCTGCAGCTCTCATTGGCACACATTCAAAAGGATGTGCCAGAAAGGCAGATCGCTGCGGGCTCCACCAGCCTGCGGGGGCCCTGTGGCATGAGCTCGCCCTCCTCACACCAACGGCATCTGCTGCCTTTGCTTGTGTGGGCTTAAAGTCTGGTAAAGCAAGAACTAGCTTGCAACATAGACTCCCCGCCGAAACGGGACGGGAACCGGGCGAAAGCAGAGAAAGCAATAAAACAGGGGTGGAGCAAGGCGACATGCAACGCAAGCAGCTGACAGGGCACGCATCGAAACGTGTGTATGACTGGCAAAGTGGCATGGCGCATTGGGGAGAAACGCAACGGTACGGGAGCATGGGCTGGCCAAACGGCAGTGCGGAACGCTAGGTCACTAGAAAAGCAGGGAAAGGCGCACTATGTATGCAATGAGGGCAGCCCCGGCTCGGGGCCGTTGAGAAAGCAGTGGGCGGGAGGGGGGAGGCCCCGGTGTGGGCGGGCCCCATCGAGGGGGGATGGGGCGCGCAAGCGGCCAGATGGGGCGGGGCGCGGGCGGCAGTGGAGTCCTGCGGCTGGGTGGGATATAGGGCAATGAGCGTTGAGCAGTGTGCGATGAGCAATGAGCAATGAGCAGTGAGCAGCCCCTCCCTAAACAAAGTGAAGCGCAGGACGGGGTCCGGTGGATGGGAGGCAAGGAAACGCGGGGGGTTGCCACGTGCGCTACCGCCGCCGCCGCAGCA